TTGTGCAGCTTGTCCTGGCTTCCTGGCGGGGGGACGTGTGTGAAGGGCTGCGAGCCACTGGAACAGAGCCCAGCTAGCGGTCCTGGTGAAGAGATAATGACAGTACAGTCCTACCTGGTGGAGCCCGGCCGGCTCTCTCCATCCTCACAGGAACCAGGAGGTCCGGACAGCAGGAGGCTCCTGCAGACGCCCGGAGGCAGAGAGAAGGGCCTGGGACTCGGGGTCCCAGGGCCACGGCACCGCTCCTCTGAGCGTCGGCCTCGTGGTAACATGAGGACACGAGTGTGGCAGAGTCTGCACCCCTTGGCAGCTATGGCTGGAATGGGGTAAAGTAGCGCTGTGAGTGTGGCTAATTTAGGTGTAATTGCGGGCAGCTTTGTACCTGGGGATTGGGCAGAGCCAGGTGGCTAGGGGCTTACTACACTACTGTAATAACAGCCATTATTCACTATCTGTGTCTTATCGCCTTAATTCTCTCAATGAATCCTCACAGTGACCCTAGGAGGGAAGCTGTTATCATCCCCACTTTAATGGGGTGCCAGATAACACAGCTAATAAGAGACACAGCCTGGATTCACTCCCAGGTCTGTGACTGGAACCTCCGCGTGAGTGACAGGTGGGTATCTACTGCTAGTCCCGCCTTCCCCGGTCCATCCCCACCAGCGCTGCAGGCCCTTGTTACCTCCTGCGAGTGCCCTGCTCATGACCACCACCAACACCCATTCCAAAACAGTGCCCACCACCGTCAGCCGCTCTCCGTGGGCCTCAGCCATTCCACTCTAAGAATTTCCCTCAAGAACCTAGAGAGACAAATGGAGATTTACGTAGGCAGATGTATACGTCACAGAGAACAACTAAACGAACATAGGTGTCCAACAAGAAGGGATTGGTTTGTCAATAAATAATAGTAAATATATAGAATAACATGGAGGCATTAACATACTTATTCAACGTCATGGCTTCATAACACAAGATACGGATACATTAAAAACTCAGGATAGA